GAGTGAGATTGAATTCTCCACGGGAAGCCCTTTGAGTTGGGATACTGTACTGTACTATGATGGGTGGTATGAAATGATGAACCAGGGCAAAAAGATGCTCGACGAATTTTCCAGATGTCCTCGGGTGGAGTCGAACCACCGCCGCTTCCTTGCAACTTCCGTGAGCACGTGAACAGTTGAGGAGTGAGTTTTTATAATCCCCAAGGGCCTGTTGGGTGACACTGGCATAACCTGAAGCACCTGAAAAGCAAGTGCGATTCACACATGTGTTCCGCAGCCCACAACACAGGTTTGGGCAGACAAAGGGAGGCTTTGTTGTCTGGTGGGGGGTTGACAAAGCCTCCCTTTGTCGCATCAAGGTTCCTTTGTTGGCTGTTTTTCTGAGTGCGGAACACATGTGTGAATCGCACTCGCCTTTCAAGTGCGTTGGTCGTTGCTCCCAGTGTGATTGAGGAACGTGAACAGGTGCGAAAAATTGGTAGTTAGAGCGTGCCAATCCGGACTCAGTGCAAAGATCAAAGTGAACTGCGCCCTTGCTGTGATTATTGTGGCTGCCACACTGTTAGGGAGTGGGTAAGCGAGTTGACCAGAGGCTTGTCTGCGTTAGGAACTACGTACCTTGCATGCAGTGCTGTGTTTTCCTGGTACCGACTTAGGTACCAGGTCTACGTCTCACAATTGCAAACCCCGATCGTAGCGGTAACTTCCGGGTCTCGGCTTTTGATGGGCTCTTGTGAACCAAAAACTCCAACTCCGATCGTAGCGGTAACTCCCGGTTCTAGGCCCTGGGTCCGCTTTCCACACCCACTATGTTCAACCTCGATCGCAGCGGTAACTTCCGGTTCTAGACTTATATGGGCCTTGTGAGAAAGCCGATCATGGCGGTACCGGGCCCTGGTCGTTATTTCCAATAATTCACTCCTAAGCAACACATTGTCTTTTGATCATCCCTACCTCCAATCCCCATCCTCATGTCTTCCCCTCATTCTTCTACCATGCAAGTTAGGTAGGCTTCTTTTTTCAGTCTCTTGTCCTAACTGGTTTTTCGCTCAATAAGGCAGATCCACCACTGCATCCCCGTGCCATTCTGCCTCAGTGGAAACTGTTCCAGGCGTCGAGGAACCGCGACCTAATCCCCCTCTTCTCCTGAATCAACCTCTCATGTTACTCGCCACTCAACTCCCGCCGGCCCCGAGTTGTCTGCCCAGTCATCAGGTGTTGCAGGTCCGAGCGTTATGTGCCTTGCATTTAAATTCATCTAACTTCCTTCAGGCACAGTGAATGGCTTCCAAGTGCCCAGCACTGGCATCATTGATGCTGCGCACAGTAACAGCACCGGGGAGTTGCACACCCCCTGATCAGAACTTAATCCAACGCCTCGCAGCACCTCATCGTCTCGTGCCCAAAATGCCGAAAAGACGGCCGCCAATTTAACAGCCATACCCGTTGCTGGGACGGTGGACAGCCCTATCTACATCCAGCTCGATGTACAAGAACTTGGGGGCCCCTGATGAGGACAACACCAGAAATGCGGTCATGTGGTAAGTGATTTCATCTTGGACTTGACACGATAAAGCTGACTTGCGTGGATTATAGCGTCGCACTTACCGAGTTTGAAGACGTGGCTTACTTAACCAACAAGGAGATTTAATAGCTCAGCACTTGCTACTGTATACCTTTGCTCCAGGCATTCAGAATGAGTTGACCTCCTTTGGAAATATGTCTTACTCCCCTTAGTGTCTAGGAGAAAAGTCTCGCTGGAGATGCTAGCCATGTTCGTACATTCATGAGAACGGTTGAAACAATGAAACAAACAGACTGTCGGGGAGTCCCAATCTGGAACCCCCTGTTAAATCCACCCAGAAATATTCAGGCATGATGCCTATGAGCATCGAAAAATGTGCTGGAAGAAGAAGAAAAAAATTCATGGTTGGAAATGCAGGCCAGTTTTGAGTGTTGATCAGATCGGCCAAACATTGAACAAACAGACTCTCGGGGAGTCCCACCCTGGAACCCACCAATGAAACAACCCAGAAATATTCAGGAATGCGTATCACATACATATGAGTGTTCAAAAATGTGTTGGAAGAAGAAATAAAATTGTTGTGGCATGGAAATGGGAGCCAGTTTTGTGTGTTGATCAGATCGGCCAAACATTAGGGTCGTTCACAGTAGCCCTTTTTTGCTCTCTTTTTCCTTCCCTTTTTTCTTCCTTTTCAGTATTCCCATCGTTTTTTGCTCGTTTTTTTTTTCCCTGAGTTTGGGGCAACGATCTCTGCTCTCCCAGAATGAACCCACTGAAAAACCTTTGCCACCCATCCTTTCTGCCCCCCACGATATCTGCGACTTGATTCTATACTTCTACTTATCCCAATTACCGACTTAGGTACCAGGTCAACGCATCACAATTGCAAACCCCGATCGTAGCGGTAACTTGCGGCTCCAGGCCTTTGATGGAACCCAAAAATTCAACCCCGATCGCAGCGGTAACCCGTTTCTATGCCTTGGTCGGCCTTTCTGCGTAGCGGTAACTCCCGAACGTCGACATTGTCTTTTGATTCATCATTCAGTGGTCCATTCCTCCGAGCCTCCTCCTACATTTCCATAAAGCAGGTAAGGCCGATGAACGGCACAGCCCGGTAACGTCCTCTGGTTAAACTTGAATAGCATTGACAGAGTGGATCCACCCACTGCTGGCAGCATGACTGCCTAGGCTCACGAAGAATGTAAAATGTGGTGTGACTGTAACTGAATCTACGGTTGTAATAGTCACCAGTGTATCCATACAGATCCAAGGCATCCAGCAGCCCAAAACCCTCAGTTGATGTAAATATCTCAACGCGCTGGTTGTGGCCATAAAACTAGGTTGGGACGAAGGCTTGGGCTTGCCAATATCCTGAGTCCAAGGGTTAGGAGAAAAACTAAAAGTAGATGCAGACAGAGAAACTTGTATGGACACAATCTAAGTGGACATACAACGAGACGTTGAAAGGAGTGCAAGGAATACTATATGTGAAATTTGGTAAGAAAAGAGATTAGGTAATGAACTTCGAGCAAGAGACGACCGCAAGCAAGGAAAGACACCGAAGAGTTGCAGCATAAGCAACATTACGAATCCATGCGCGGCAAGAAGCGGCCGGAGGCGAGCCGAAGCATTTTGGCGGATGGGAAACTGCTGACGCAAAAAAAGCTGACAAAAACGAGAGTTTACTGCGAGAGCTGTCAAAAGAGGCTCTCTAAGACCCAGTAACTTACGTTACTGGGAATACCTCTGTCTCACTTTCTACCATGCCTGGTAATATCCTGCAGACCGGAGGCTGTCGAGGGAGGCGTTGATGGCCTCATTCAAGGCCTCCTTCGCCTCCGACATTTTTTTTCGAAGGAATTGAACCCAAATTGAACCCATTCAACTTACCTTAGCAATCCTAGGCCGGTAAGAGGTACCAGGAATGCCCGGAGGGCCTTTTGAATCAAATTTATTCTCTCGAACCCGGAACTTGGAAGCTTCTCACGGCCCCGTGCACTTACGTAGGCGGCCGCACACTCACCATCGCACCACCATGTCGAGCCCCGCCCCAAACAACATCGACTCCAATCCATCGCCTTTCGTCCCGACACAGCCATTTACCAAGACCGCCGGAGCCGACACCATTCTCCGATCTTCCGATGGTGCGGATTTCTACATCCATCGCGTGATCCTATCACTCGTCTCGCCCGTTTTCGAGACCATGTTCAGCCTTCCTCAAGCGGAATTAAGCCCCGCTGTGCCCATCATCGACGTCCAAGAGGGATCAGCCACTCTTGACCGAGCCCTGCGGTTCTTCTATCCTGGTACACAGCCAAATGTCGCCACGTTGGAAGAACTGCAGGACGTCATCGAGGTCCTGATGAAATACGATATGCAGTGCGTGGTTCCGATGGTGAAACAGCACCTCGAGAAATACCATTTGTCTCGGCCTCTTGCCGTATACTCTATTGCGTCCAGGCATCGGTGGAAGGATGTCGCGGTTGCAGCCGCAAGAGAATCTTTGAAACACGCACTTCGCACGCTCCTCTCGGACGCCCCCCCGGAACTCGAGGGAGTGACAGCTGTGGCATACCACAATCTACTTCAGTACCACTCCCGCTGCGGGGAAGCTGCACGGTGGACAACAAAATCGCTCAAGTGGTTCCTCTGGCCCACCATCCTCAAATATTGCCGCTGCAACAAGTCTGAGATCCTGGTCATGTTCTCCGATCATGAGGGCTACGAAGTGCCTGTGTGGTTTTCCGAATACCTCACGGATGTGGGCGGACTCTTATACATGCGTCCTGGGTCGAATGTACGCGAAATCGGGACATTCTACACAGCATTGGGGGAGGAAAAGTGCGGGAATTGTCAGCAATTCAACTTTACTAGCTTTGCTACTTCCGACTTGCCGGCACAACTGAAAGCCGAGATCGACAAGGTTTGTTGAATATTCTCAATTCTTCCAGCGAAGAATCTGAATCTCTTGCCAACTAGATCGAGTTGCAGTTCTGATACCTCTCGTTGGCCGTGATGTAACTTTCCATATATTTGAATTTTGTACTATATTCCCTCCCAAGCGTCAACTGTGGATCATCCTCGTCCGATTGTGAGAGAACGGTGGTGAGTCCGGTTGTCCCTCTTCAACATGGATCGACTGCTGTAGGCGTCCGGCGAGTTGAACTCGAGGTTATGAATTTACTGAACGCTCCAATTACATAGCTGTGGTAACGTGTCTACACTTTGGCGGGGTAGGTACAATAGATACGGATACCAGAGTTGAAATACTACTCCTCATACAACGACTTTGAACCACTCTTGATCTCTCAACAACACTCTGGATCCGAGTGCAGTAGCACAAAAAAAAAGTTAGACTGTGGAAAATCTGTCCATGCTTGACCTGATGGCGCACCTTCATTTTTTCCTTGCTGCCACGGCAATTGTTTACAGCAGTAGAATCGCGGCATATGAAGGCCCGAATTGGCACCTGTAAGTCTTCGTGGAGTAATCTGGAAACTCACTCCTCACATGTAAGGATTGCATTGTGAAAGTTGCACGGGAGAGTTGGCGGTTCAAGCCCGCCCGAAGGCATTCCACAGGTTGTTCCCATTTTGCCTCTCGTAAGCACACATGGCTCGCGTAACTAAAAATTTCCCTAACTGAATTCAGTATGAAGGCAGGATCATTCACCTTTCAATCAAATGATTAAGAAGACACAAGGTAAGGCGATTCTTCCTAACACAAAGGACGGCCATGATTTAACATCCAGGATGAAGGCATATCGAATATTTGGCTCGCCGCGCATGAGCTTCGTCCCACACCCGACTCCCACGATGCTGCACCTGCAGGAAAGACGTCGGAACTATACATATCAGTGTGCTGACGCGTTCAAGCAGTGTGAACAACATGGAAATGGAATGCGGCCTTACGGCGGGCACGTCTGCTGTCAGTCGTTGCCCCAGACTCAAGAGGAAACGAGATGATCGAAAGACCAGGTTCCTGAGATTAGAGGGGAATCACATGAAGAAGACAACATACAGATTCCGTACTTGGTTGGTTCCACGGCCGGCATCTTCCTGCTGTAGAGGATAGCATAAGAAAGACTTTGAAACAGGCATGGTAAGTCTTCGTGGAGTAATCCGGAAACTCACTCCTCTCGAGAGTAGCGTAGAAGTTGTACGGGAGAGTTGTTGGTTCGAGTCCACACGAAGACGTATTTTGTAGAGTTCCTCCCTTTTTTATCTTGTCATATATGACCGACCAAATGGAAGGCAATATGGACTTTGCGTGGAATACTGCAAGCGGATTGATCATGACAAGACACGAATAGTCAGTGAACGGGATGGGATGATTCTGACTTCCGGGGTATTAGAAACAGCAGGAAAAGAAAATCCTAGGTCAACACCCGGTGACGTGGGACGCACGGGAGTATGTGCGTGAGGCCTGAGAACCCAGAGAATTTGAAACAGCGTTATTCAAAGTTGGTGAGATAGGACAGTGGTGGGAGAGGGGCGGCGCGAAGCAGCATCGAGCGACAGAGGGTCGCTAACCAGCACCTCGAAGCCGCCAAGAAGAGGGCGAACTCCACGGTGCAAGGTGCCGAACCGTTCCCGCGAATTTCAAGCCGCATTCGAACCAGGGACGGAATTGAGGTTAAAATCCACTTTAAATGCATAAGCAATCAAAAGTGAAAGAAGGATCCCGCCGGCGGTGGACACAAGAGGCAGCCACCGGAAGATGCCGAGACACAGCCTCGAAGGGTAGGGTGGGTCCCCCTTATTTCACTTTTTGAAATTTGTTCGGACAGCTCTGAAAACATGTTTAGAAGGGTCGAAAAAAAATCGAGTTTTTTAGGGGTACATTCCCGCGTGGAACGGTGAAGAATATCCATTCCGTACGACAGAGATTGACTCCAAACACTGCAAATTCGCGCAGAATGGCCTATATCAAGCCCATATTTCAGTAGAAAATTCCCTTTTCGGTCACTTTTCCTGAGAAAATTACCCGATTTGGGTGTGGCTGTGCTCGGCTAATAGGGTAGGATGGGTCTGGAGGTCTTATTGCACTTTTCCGACCCTGTGTGGCAAATTTTAAGGACGGTTGCCTCTTGGGTGGACACGTACATCCCTAACGCATTCGGATCGCGACGGTAAGGCGTACACGCATCCTGAACTTGTAGTCAGGGTCGAACTAGATGTCGGATCCAGTGCGCAGAATATGTCCGCGGCAGGTAGCTGGGCATCTGACGGACTGAGTCGGTCACGGTGGCGTCCGAGTAACCGAGTTGTCTGGGTGAAGTCAGCCGGCGATTAGCCCAAGGAGCTGTCTAGGCCAGTTCGATTCATTAGGTGGTATACGGATTGTCATGTTCAGAGGACGCACCAGTGGCGAAAGATCTGGTCGCAGGAGGAGAAAAAAGTGATACGGCGATGCGGGCCGGTCTTGCGGCGATCAAAGGCGCATGTGACTGAGAGTTTGAGATGCCGAGATCAATTCCCTGCTTGCTTCTAACGGCGACATGCGTCTCCATTCCGAATTTCATCATTCTTTTGTTGGGCGCAAACGACTCTTTGCCTGCATTTATTCCGCGCCCTCAGTATTTGACTCGTCTTTCCGCCGGAAATCCACTTGGTGAGTCGCTCGTTCTCCATAAATCCCATGCTATAATTTCTTCGTCAACTCATCTTGACACTGGGGGCAATGAATGCAGCACCTGAAACACAGGTGATATTCAGTCATGTACTCAGCACTTTGGTGTGACATGGCACAAAGGCCTTTGTAAGATATGCATTTTGTTTTAACTAGGTAGAACTAAGTGCTTAATTCGAGCTTAATTACTTTGTGCTGTGTCACTCCAAAGTGCCTTACAAAGGCCTTTGTGCTGTGTCACACCAAAGTGCTGAGTACATGACTGAATATCACCTGTCTTTCAGGTGCTGCGTTCATTGCCCCCAGTGTGAGTGGCGCGCCCTCTAAGCTAGAAACAGCCTTTTTACCCTCTCGTGCTCTGAAACTTGCTAGTCTTCCGATGTCTCTCAGACTGCTTTGCTCATTCGAAACACCCTTGCCAATGGTACTCAGCGCTCAGCGACCACAAGATTTGAGATTACGCACACCATTCAGATCTCTGCCTGCGAGATTTTCACCATGGGTGCGTGGCAAAAAAATTCTACAAGGTTCCTGGAAAATTACCGCGGCACACTACCTAATCCTCTGCAGTTTCGCGTCGGATTTCGTTTGTATTCGGATTCTCGATTCACCACACCACTTTGGCGGCTCCGGTCTATACCTTCGCGTTTCATCTCGTGTTCTCATTATACACTATGTATACGGAGCTTCTCAATGAAGATCATCTCTCGCCATTTCTTCGTTTGAATACCGGTCTGCATTATCTCTTTGCGAACCGGAATACGAATGCTGACGGAAAAAAAAACATTACTTTGATGGATGTTTCCGCACTACGTACTAGGGTGGATCCCCGCCAAAAAGTCACTAGACAAATTATGTCTTTGGGTGGGTTCGAACCACCGGAATTATACCATACGTGGGAAGGATCAACTGCTCGTGAGTGAGTTTCATTACTCCACAAAGACTTATTGACTCTCTTTTGAGCCAGAATAGGTGTTGCACAAAAGGTCCATCGTACTTTGTGCTCGTTTCTCGTATGGCCAGACCGAGGATGAATACGCAGAGTAGCTATCAGACGTACACGCAGCGCCGTATTACCATCCCGCTCACTGCGCCCTCTCCTCCGGATTCCTCGCTCTCGACCATCTGCTCAACGGAGTCAGGCATAGGAATATTGTAGTACCGAAACACATCCTTCCTCCCGCAGTCGACGAAGAGGGCATCTCCAAGTCCTCATAGAGTCGTGTCCTGTAGTCCGTGGAATCTACTGTGTACCTCTAAATGCCAGGGCGGGAAGAAATCAGAACGCTAGGAGGAGTACAGCCCTCAAATAAAATAGAAGAAGGAAAATACATAGATATTCTTGATAACAGCCCTTAAAATACAGCCTCCTAGACCGCTGTCCAAATTTTTTGGGGGGTAAGCATCCCCAAAGATAATGGCCAGAACATAAGCCAAATGCCCGCACAAACACAGCTGCGCCGTGCGAGCGCAATATAGGATTTTTACTTGATCCCTTTTCATTGACGGACTGGTCGATTACCCACCAGGCAAGCGTTTTTCGTTCAGGATCGATGGGCATCGCGATGAACACCCCGGAGGGCGTGAACATGAACGCCGGGAAGGCGAACTTGTCGGCACCGGAGGGAGCGATGGCGGACAATGCGGGGAGGAAGCCGTAGACGATGCATAACCCATCGAAGGTGGGCGTGGGTGCTTGCGGTCCGAGGACGTGCTGGCGGACTTTGGAGTGCATGCCGTCGGCGCCGATCAAGATATCGCCTGTACCGTAACGGAAAGATCCAGAAGTGAAGACATCAAGCAAAGTCGACCCGAAATCACGCACCGTGGGCCGTGGACCCATCGTCAAAGTACGCCGTCACCCCGTGCTCGTCTTCCGCTATGCGCGACAGCTTCGCGCCCCACTTGACGGCTATCATACCGCCCATCTCCGCACCCGCATCCAGCAGAATCGTGTGGAGCGTCGAGCGCATGATTCGCACCGAGGGGTACCCTCCATCACCCTCGCCTGCACCCTATCCTGTTAACGGATTCGAGCGCAGCTATTGCGTCAGAGGCGGATCACGCGGAGCTGTCAACTCAAGTGATCGACATTGTTCGGCACCGGCCGCTAAGTTTCGGTGACATCACTAGCGCACAACGTACAAACCCGTCGCCACCGCTGGCGACCACTGGTCTCTTTTTACGATCCAGAATACGAAAAATGAATACTCAAAAATCTTGTGGTTGGCCTTGTAATACCGACACAGTCAGTGAATATTGGAATACTCATGGACCCCCTCTCAGATCCGTGGGACATGCGTTGCAACGGACAGCTGGTGGTTGAAAACCATCCGAAGGTATGGTCGTAGATTGAATGGGTTTTACTTGGGCTCAATGTGTCTCTCGAAATTTGCTGAATGGGATCCCGTGGTCTATTTGGATACATTAGACCGTGATCCACGTTCTGCCTGCCGGATGTACCCACTTACACAGCGGCACATCGTAATGGACAAGTCTTCGTGGAGTAAAAAGGCAACTCGTTCTCATACCATATTCGTTCCGCAGTCTGAAATATGCGAGAAAGTTGGTGGTTCGAATCCACCCGAGGATGTGTTTCATTATGGTAGTTTTTTGGAGTTGTCTTGTTTCTCAAGTGAACTTTTTCCTCGATCTGCGTGTAATCAATGAGAATACATCCTCAATGAGTAATAAACATGACTCACTCCCATCTATTCCCCGGAACGAGTGAAAGCGCAGTTCGAGCCTGTAGTTTCAGATTCGCGAACAGATTCTCGGACATAAGAGGGGTGGAAGAAATAAAAGAAAAAAGGGCAGCGTGACCGGGCGCCCGTTTGCAGGTCACATTACGAACGATGATTCATAAAAAGGTCTTGGAATCTTCTCACCCTACGTCTTAGGCTGGATTCGAACCAGCGTCCTTTCCCTGGTTACTCACATCAAAGGAGTAGTACGTCTTGGCAAGGGAGTTTCCTCTTCGACGAAGACTTATTGTGCGGGTTTGGATCTTCGATAACCCGAACGCTTGTGAGAATCTAAAGAAATAAAATCTCCCCGCCGCTATTTCCTAGTTTTCGGGGGAGTCGGGACCCCATCTGTCCCTTACTCAATTGACTCTATTGTGTACCGTCCATGAGTAGTGCTGGCAAGGTTTGGTTTGGTTCGGGTTCGGGGAGCTTTTGCCCGAACGCTGAACCTGAACCTGCGTTCGGTTCAGGTTCGGCGTTCGAACGCGTTCGAACTTTTTGAACCTCGGAGCATTTCCCACACCCAAACTTCCTCTGAGCAGTCCCCCCAGAAATTGGGAAGGGTGTTTTACCATTTAAATGTTACGCCAAAGCATGCCAAGAGACATTGAAGCACACCTAGAAATATATCTGAGCAAACTCGAGCTGAACAAAGTTTGATCAGATCATGTGAGTGACTTTCCTCTCGCAACCTACAGCGTAAAAACATCAAGAAACCCGCTTAGAATTGATCATGAGCGAATGGTATGGATGATTGAAAGTAGAGATGGCAATACTTTTGTTAAACCCCTAAAAATATGACTCGATTGGGTGACTTCCCGCAAGATTTAAATATTCCGGTACAATTTTCGAGCCTACCCGAGGGTGCCAGTGATGTGATCAAAGAGCAGGATATTCGCGCCGTCTGTGTTTCCGCAAGCATATAATATTTCTAATGCATTGATGTCGTGTAGATATTGACTCTATTTGCATGACCTCACAAGAGAATGTACTTTGCAGTGTCTTGTATGATTGTGAGAGCTTGAGCCTTGCTTGAGCGCGCAAACAAGATTCCGTAGTAGTCAAAGTGCATCAGTTCATCGTGGATACCAGTTTTGGGTGGGAAAAGTCCTCCAAAAGTTGTTAATTGAAGAGGTATGAGGTGTAGATGACTTTGAATACGTCAAAAGAGGGAGGTAAGGCATGCAGAGCAAGCGGGAGTTTGTGACAAGCGTGATAGAGAGTGACAATCAATCATTTGTGGCCAAAATGGGATATTCAGGATAATGAAAGTCTAGACGAGGGGTACCTACCCCCCTTCTAGATTCAAGGATATTCGGGTGATGCGAGAATAAAAGGCTGTCGTTTTGGGGTGATGTTATTGATGGGGTCCTGACAGGTCGCGCGGCATCACGGCGGAAATTGCTCAGATATTTGCCACGAATATTTAAGTCTTACGGGAAGTCACCCATTTTGATTAAATAGGCAATTTTCAGCCATTTGCGGTACGGCGTTCGAACGCGTTCAGGAAAAATCTCTGGAGCCCGAACCTTGAACCTGAACCACCCGTTCGGTTCAGGTTCGGTTCAGGTCCGGACCGATTTCCGAACCGGACCCTGCCAGCACTATCCATGAGCCTGGGTGGTGGGATGATCCAGAATGCTGGGAGAAGCCCAGCAAAAGAAAAAACAAGGCAGCAATCTCAAGGCTTCAGGTGGATTCGAACCACCAGATACCGCTAAGACGGCATTCGAAGCCAAGTGTAGGATAGTGAGTTGTGTTACCTCACGAGGTGTATACCTTGGATTAGTTGGCGAGAATTGCGAGTGCATGAATGTGCACAAAAAACCGTCGCTTCCAACGTAAGTATTCGGGGCATTCGAACCATCAGTGCTCCCGGTACTAGCGTCACTTCACGCTTTTAGGAAGGAGTGAGATATTTCTGTCCACAAAGACTTGGGTACCTCTAATAAATCGTGAAGAATTAAGGACTCGAGCAGGGGTGCAAAAAATAGATGAGGACTCGGGAGTGCTTGGGTCCTTGGGTGGATGTGAACCACCGGTAAATCTAACGGTCGTGTGAATTTGGTAGGGTGGGAGTAACTCTACTCGATGAGCACTTTGGCGCTTGCTCTATATCCAGAACAATATTGAGCACACAGGAAGCCAGCATCGGCCCTGGGACAGCTCGGCCAAATCAAATGAGGTGTCTTGGAGTGGACTTTACCCTCCCGCACGGAGGGAATCGAAATAATAAGACTGAGAACAAAAAATTAGCACTGAGTCTGGAGTAACAAAAAGTTTTCCTGACAAGACTCAGCCCTTCGGGTGGATTCGAACCACGTACATTTCCTGCGAAGGTTTTTGTGCGTCCCAAATCGATGAACAATTGGGGGGGAGTGGGTTGATTTACTCCACGAAGACTTTCTGAATGGTTTAGTAGGAGTGATATCTCACGCTCTGGATGAGTTGCGCATCCAAAGTGTTTCCAAACGACTCGACACAGTAAATAACGGCGCCTCCGGCGAATCCCGCAATCAGAGCCGCACGTGGCACCGCATCACCGGGCCGCCCATCCATGCATCGCATCGTTCTTTATTCTTCCTTTATCTCACGAGATGGACACCTCCCGGACAAAGCCAGCCTGGTGGACCCGACTATGCTGCTCTATCCTCCGATACGTGTCTGTTTCTGATCCAGCGTGAAGGTACGTACATAAATTAGCTGCTAGCGAGGAACTCGCGGGGAAAACAAGTGATGAGAAGGTATCACAGTTTTGCGTCTTCTCGTCCTCCTACTGGGAATCAAGGTTAGATGGTTGACGACGACACGAAGATCACCTATGGTGAGCTCGCGGAGCTCAAGCCGGCGGATAGCGTGTAGCATAGTGCGGATGGCGTGGATTCGTCCGGGTGGAGGCCGCCGGTGCGTTCGTGTGTTTCCGAATTCAGTGAATAACCCCTAAGGAACAACGTCTGTATCTAATGCGTGCATCGACCTCGCCCCAGGCGGACGACGAACTGTTCACGCTCCCCACGTTCCGTGTATGGAAGAGAGCAAAAGCTTACCCTCCGCCTGCGTGGGCGCAACAGTGATGCACGTCTCCATTCTCTTGGCTGGTTGACGGAGAGAGTTCATTTGTGGCCCTTTTTCAGAAACCCGCAGGCCGAGCACGCACGCCATCGTCATGCCCCCGCCGCAATCTGGGCATTTCGGTGCATCATAGCACGCCTATCGTCTATCCTTCCGTTTGTCCCGCCCCTAATTGGGTCTATACGTTCGTTTCCTGATCGGTGTATGCGTGCCCGAAGACTCCGCCACCCAAGTGCAGTGAGCGTTTGAATTCTCGGTGTCCCTCTCATTTCCTCTCCCTCCACTCCTAAACCTCCTTCTCTTCTCGCCCTCCGTCATGGTTCTCGTCGCGTCACGTCGTTCTCCCTCCATCCCGTCGTTGCTCGCTCATCACGCGTACCTCGATCTCGATTTCAACACACAAAGACAAAGATGTCCAACCCGCATCGACAATCCCGTGGCTCATTCCTGGCGTTATTTGACTCTCATTCCATCGCCGTCCGGCCCTCCTCTCCCTTAAGTCACACATCCTGGAGCCAAGCTACCCGTGGATCCGGATCCGCCAAGACGCGCCGGCCCCACTTCAAACTCAATTCATTCGTATCTTGATCGTCTTGCACCCATCCTGTCGTCGCAGCCTCTTCTCGGCTCTCCGCTTTGCCCTCATTTGAGATCCACGTACCTACGTGCGTATGTTTCTTTTACTCCTCCCATCGTGCGTTCCAAGACCTGATTGCATTTTTTTGCAGCGGATATCGCCTCTTGCCCCAGACCTCGTCGTGCTCGCTAAAAGACGAGGTGAGTCGCGTTATTTGAGATTTCTCATCCTCGGAGGCGACTCGTATTGTATCTTTTCGAGATGCGAGGTTCCGTTCCCTTTCCACACGCGATGCTGATCATTCTCGCCCCACCCGTTCCGTGCATGTGTCTTCGTGCCCCACCCGACCAAGGGCTACGCGAACATCCTGGACGCACAGCTCCTCTGAGACGTGCGTGCGTGCGTGCGTGCTCCATTATTATCATCATTCCAGCTCCCCATCAGCGGCGTTGCTATCTCAGCCCCCGGTGCATGGGCCTACATTCACCCAGTGCGCCCCGCATTCATTCATCTTGACCCGCACTTTTTTTCCCTGGTTCAGCATTCAGCTATTCTCGCCGCCTTCCGCCTTTACTGATTCCGGCTCCTCTTTACATCTATTCTTCTCCGTTGTCTCGCCGCTACCGTTATTTTCAGATGCTTACCACTCTCCCAGGTCCACCGACGCTTCAGTATCCGTGTAGGGGTATAGAAACTGGCTCCGCTCGGCTTTTCGGGCGCTATCGCAATCGTTCCGGTGCGCGTGTCACTTCAAGCTTCAACTACAGTACAATTCAATCTCCCTTTCCTTGCCCATCCCTCGAGTATTACGGCCCCAGAATAAACACATCTACGGGATCCAAGGCCTGCCAGTTGGACTGGCTGCGTGGTTGACTTTGGGGAAAAATCTAGAGTCTAGACGCCGGATTGCCCTCTTCGGGACCGTTCAGGTAAAGTCTTTATCCTGAATGATCTCAGCATCGAATATGATGAATTTATAATGGAAGGTGCGGAGGATGCAGAGGGTATCTGGGATCTACATCGTGGAAAAAATCAACATCCTAATCCAACGTGAGGCGATAACTTGTCAAGCATCGCTTTCGGAGTCATTCTCTTTTTCGTCGAGCTTCGAGAGCTTCAAGACTCGCTCGTCCGCGAAGGGGACCAGAACGATCGCTTCTCGTCGCAATCTGCACAACAGAAGCGTTGAAGCCTTTG